TTGTTGTTAAGAAATGGATGAACAGGAAATCTAAGGAAAAGGGCAAATTAATTCATCTTTTAAATCATCTTCTCCCGTGACAAGACCCAGGCAGAGACAAGGAACCTGGAATTTGCCGAAAGGCAGCCCTGAGAGGGTGTGCTTGCATCCTGAGACCACCGTGACTCGGAGCGCAGAGGTGAAGGCAAGGCGTGTGTGACGGCCGCGGAGGGGAAGAGCACTGTTCTGTGATGCCAGGTCCATCCTCACCGCCAAAGCCTTTCTCTACAATTAAGATACATGCTGGAGGCTGTACTGGCAACATTTCTTAAGTGTAAATGAAGTCTCTTTTTTTTCTTAATTACTGGAAAAAACACCAGTGAAAATGAAGTCCCACTGATTACTTTGGCTTTCAAATTCACTAACAGGACCGAGCAGGCTAATTGGGGCTGCGGAGCTCTGCCCAGCAACAGCGCCAGAGCCCGTTCCTGGGAGCATCCACCAAGCAGCTGCTATCAAATTATTTCCTATCCGCATTGTGAAACCCCAGTTGGAAATTTCACAAATGGGAACTTGTTTCCTTGCCAACCTCAGAAGCACCTCAGAAGCTCTCCACAATTGCAGGCCCAGAGGCAATTAGAGGCTCTCCCATCGGGCTTACAATATGCATGTAAGTGGCCTGAAGAAAGTTAGGAATATGCCAAATAAGGGCTGCATCGTGGGCTGTCAATATCACAGAAAGGTTTTCTTCCAAGACAAAGCCTGGCTCCAGGGAGGATGTGAGTCTTCATGCGAATCCAAGCTCCCTCACAAGGCAGTCTGGTGTCTTATGGTCACAACTGGTCGCAACTCCTCCCAGCCTGTTCTGCGCTCCTCCCAGTCCCTGTACCTCCCAGTGACAGGGCACGGTGCACAGACCTCTGTGAAGTTTCCCTACTGTTGCCTGCCTTATCTTCCTGCTGACCTCTCACCTATCCTAGAAAGCCCAAGTTTTAAGCTTCTTAAGGATTGTCTCCTTTGCTGAAAATTTACCGGTATATTATCTTTCCTCTCAGGGAAGATACCCAAATCTCCATGGCCTGAAAGACTGTGTGATCAGGGGCCTGCCTACAGCGTCTTCCGATACTCGTCTTCTGACTGGCCATTCTCCCGCCGCACTGATCTTCCTTCTGACCTGCAGATGGACCCAGGAGAGCAGGGTCCGTGTGGGAGGGTTCATCCTGGGGAAGGGGAGAAACGTCCGCGCACGCGAGGAGCCACGGGGAGGCTGGAGTCACAGAGCATACCATGCTCGCCGTGTGGGGCTTAGGTGCAAGGAGCAGAGAGGGGATGGAGGAGGGGACCAGCAGATGGTTTCCCATGGATACATTTATTCAAGTGAAACATGCCAAGCATGCTCCACGTACCTATCACCTCTTCCTTACAATGACAAGGGAGGTATTAGCCTGGTTTTATAGATGAGAAAGTAGTTGCTCTGGGAAGTTGCAGATTCGGCTGGGTCCATACAGCTAGGAAGTGGCAGGATGGGGGTTTGACTCACATTCACAATTTTCTGACTCTAAAGCCTAAACTCTTTTTCCTTGGGTCACTTAAGGAAGCATATAGCAAGGGATTGCAAGTGGAATGCAGGGTTGCTATGGGTTCATTCCAGAGTTGGCAGATGTGTCAGAAGGTTTATGCATCAGCTCCTGCATTTTCCCAAACACATAATGACATCAACGGAATGATCAACCAGCAATGCGGGAATAAGTCACAGTGAGGAGAAGACAGGCTTTGAAGACCTGGGGTCAGGCAGGTTTGGCTGGGTGACCTATGGTCAGCTACTTCACCTTTGAAAGCCTCAGGTTCTTTATCTACACGTTGGGACTCCTAGCTCTTTCTCACAGGACTGTCCGTAAATACCCAGGTCTGGAAAAGGGCCTCCTTGCAACGCTGGCTCTTAAAGTTCCACCCAGGAAATGAATCAGGCACTTCCACGCACATTTAATTGGCCAAAGCAAGTCATTTGACCACACCTTCCAGCATCTCTCTGGGAAGGGGGCAGAAATACTCGGTGGTGAACACCCTTGCAGGCACTTTCTCCCACATTCTTTTAAAATAAACCTACGATGGGGCGCCTGGATGGGTTAAATGTCTGCCTTCGGCTCAAGTCATGATCTCAGGGTCCTGGGATCAAGCCCCGCACCAGGCTCCCTGCTCAGCCCTCTCCCTCTGTTGCCCCCACCCGCCCCGTGCTCTCTCTCACTCTCTCTCCCGTTCTCTCTCAAATAAATAAATACAAAAAACCTTTAAAAAATTATAAAAAAATAAAATAAACCTATGCTTTGGTTTAATGTTTTAAAAGCATTTTTGTGAAATAGCTTTTAAATAAGTTGTTACCAGATATAGTATTAGTGCTGTTATTTATGGAGTGATGCCACCATCTTTAGATGTGGCCTAGGAGAATATTGAGAAGGAAACACCTCCCAGAAAATGGAGTCAGGGGTGACAAAGAACACTCCCCACCTTAGGGTAGGGACCCTTAAAGCATCTGCCCAGAGGGATTTCAGAATTGCTAGTGACCAAAGACTGCTGTGTTTCTCCAATTCTTCCTCTTAGTGGAAATGTTCTCTGGTTATTCTGCCTTTTCCCACTGTTCCACTGTTGCACTGTGTGTGTGTGTGTGTGTGTGTGTGTGTGTGTGTGTGTGTGAGTGTGTGTAGGGGGTGATGGTTGTGGTGACAGCAGATATCTCTCCCTGTTCATGTATAGGTCTTCAGATCAAGTGGAGTCACATCTGGTCCTGAGGAAGAGAGCCACCTATGCCTCTCAGGCTGATGGAGAGATCATCAGGAATCACTCAGAGGATCTGGGCACTGAGCTTGGAGCCGATAACAGGTGGCATTTTGCGTCGCCTCATTTAGGGAAGGGTGGTTGTGTTTTTTATGTGGGAAGGACAGTCAAATATCTGTTGACTAAGTGGACAGACCATGGTGCTCATCAGTGTTGTTCATAAAATATTTTCAGTTTTTCTTCCAGACACATTGGAGATTTTTACTTCCCTGCCCTCTTGGAGTTAGGTGCGGACATATGAATTGGTTTGGCCAATAAAATGTGAGTAAAAATGATTGGTGTCACTCATAGGTCAAAGCTGTAAGGGCTCACGCACCATTCATCATGCTTTCTTTTCCCTCTTTCGTAGTACGAAGCAACGTGGCTGCTCTGTCTGCTTGGGTGCCAGACTGAGGAAAGAGCAGAGAAGAGCCCCCACTGATCTGCAGTGAATATAAACTGAAAATTATCTTAAGTACCTGAGAATTGGGGCTTGACTGTCACTGCAGCACAACTTAGCCTATGGTAACTGATTCTAAGAGGTCATCTTAATTCTTTATAAAAGCACTTTTTATTTTGGTGGGACTATTTCCCCACCTAGAGGACATGCAATTGGGCGGCAGTGGTTATAACTGGCCTTGTAGAGGTGGGCGCAGGTTTCCAGTAGAGGCTGGGGGGACGGGGATCCCGATGTGGTCTCTGAGGGCCTCTAAGGGAAGTGTCATGGTGAGGTTCATAGTGAGGACAGCACAGGGCCCCCTAACTTATGGGCGGCATCCAGGCTATGTCCCAAAATATCCACAGGCTGGCTGTGGTGTCCGGCTGAGGCACTGAGCCATAGGAGAGGGCCAGCACGGTGTCCAGTGACTAACGATTCCTGCGCAATCTCTGAATCAGTGGCTTGCTACACTAATTAGTTTCATGGACTCTCTCCAGATGACAGTCTCCCTTTTCTGAATTCCTGGGGAATTCAGCAATACTGATGAAGCTCTTACCAAGTTCTACTGAAATGTTCAATGAACTTTTCAGTATCATGTGACATATGTCAGATGTCGTCAGTGACCCCAGCTCAAAAATACATTCTCTTCCCTTGCCTCATTTGTGCTTTATTCCTTCCTCGGTTTTGTAGCCATAGTGCTCCCAGGCTGTGCCACGTGTGCATCTTTCCATCTTATCTTGCGTGGTGCCGTCCAGCACCCACTCTTTGTCTCAACCCAGTGGGGTCTATATGTCCCCTAGCTCACTCTTTGGTCAGCTGGTTCTCTGAAGGCATGTTCTTATTCCACAGCCCACCTCTCCCCTCAGCTTCGCATGGTGAATGGTCAAAGTCACACATCTCAGTAACTTTCAAAGAATCCGTCACCATGAGGTTGGGTCATGTCAGAGTACTAATCTGCTTATATGGGAAGCATTTTTCTTCCCCTCTGTTCTTTCATTGGTATTTCAAAGCACCCCAGCTTTTAAGGGAGCAAAAACAAAGATTCCAACAGATCTGAGAGCAAGACAGAAAGGTGAAATGTATGTTCAAAGAGCTGATTTTCCTGCTTCCAAAGAGGAGATTAGCCTTCCAGTTTGGGGATTGGAGGAGAAACAGCAGCAGAGGAACTGAGGAGGGGGCGGAGACCTTCTAGTGGAAAGGCAACTCTGTGGAAAGGAGTCTCTGTCCTTGGTGAGTGGGGAAGGGGCTCAGAGCTGAGCTGAGCTTGACAGTGGCCTCCCACGGCCTCATGCCGATAGACAACACAACCCCCACAGGCCTACATATTTGTAAGCTCCCCGAGCAGAGGGCTGGGGGCTTGGACAACTTGTGTGGGGATAAAAGGAGATCCTTTGCTCCAGATTAGCACTTTATAATAAAGTCAAATGGCAATTTTGATATGGGATTCTACATTCAGCCTTTTCTGTGTAGACGGCCCCAGTTTGAAATCAGAGAAGGTTCCAGAATGGTAAAAGGCACTAACAATTCAGAGGCAACCATGAAACTGCTCATGTTGATCTAAAATCAAAATCTGGTCTCAAGTCAAGTGCTTATTTTTACACAAGTTTAGTGTCTGGATTAGTCCTTATTTTTATGCGTCCTGTTTTATTAGTAAGGGGTAGTAAATTTTCTAGGCCCATTCTCACATCATTTGCTTTTCCCTTTTCTCTCTCAGTACCTTTCATGGGCTGTACACAGATGGGCCAGGGAGAAGGGCTTGACGCAGAGTTACCTTGCCAACAAGCGCCGACCGTAAGTTGCATGGCTATGTGAGATGGATGAATGGGCCAGTCGTTGGTCACCAGATAGGGTTCATATGTTGCTCCATCCATGTATAAGGTAACTACAGGAAACTCCACATTGATGACGTAGTAATGCCATTCTTTGTCACATATCTAATGAAAAGAAAGAGAAGCAACACTTAAAATTGAATATGCAATGAAACCTCAAACAGGCTTTTATTCTGATTATGAAAGGGAGAGAAGACATTTTTGGGTCAAAAGTTCTTATTGCAAAGAACTCAATGAATATAATGGTTGCTATCAGTGAGGTTAGAAAAGCTCACATCAGACTTGATGGGGCAAACCATGGGGTAGAGGAACACCAGAGAATCCAATCATCAGACAAGTATCTTGGTCGCGTAATTCACAGCTGTTGAGCCCGGCCAGGTCTCGGTGGACAGGGTGGGTGACAGCTTAAATCTGCTTTGTATAAAATTTTTCTTAGTTCTTTAGTAGAGAAAAAAGTTAAATTGAAATTATTTTCCTAAGCTTGGGGTTAGGTGAGGCTAGAAAAAGAAAGATACTAGGTTGAAAGGAGAAATGAAGGTGGGAATAGAGAAGGGAAGGAGGAAGGGAAAGAGAAAGATGAAAATGGGAGAGAATTAGGGGCTAGGAAAGAGCAAGACAGAAGGCGAAGAACAGGGGACGAGGAAGGAGGATGGAGTGCAGAAGGGCAGGAACGCCCGATTCCTTTGTCTCAGGAGCAACAAAGGAGTGACCCCATGGCCCCTTCAACTCAAGCAAAATGCATTCTGAGAAAGACAGTCTTCCCGAGGGCATTCACCTGCACCCTACTCTGGAGGACATGGGGAGGCAGAGAAGACCATAAATGGTCCTCCTGGCCTGGGCAGGTACAGAGCTCTCTTACACTTCTGGCCTCTCGCAACTTTTGTGCACGAGATTCCCGGTCTTAGGGCTGGTAACCAAAACCCAACCTTAATGGATGGGTAGAGACACTGGGGGCTAGAATGGAGTCATAACCCCTGACCTCAAGGAGCTGAACTCCCACCGCACAGTCCAAAATAGAAACCAAGACAAAAGAGATACCAAGTGGGCCTTGGGAAGGGAGACAGGAAGGTGGTCAAGTGGGAGAATGGTGCCCCTTCTCTCATCCCTTAAGCCAGTGCCTTGGGAGTCATGTTCGACCTTCTCCATACTCCCACTCCCTCAAATTCCTCTGCACTCTGTGGAGCCCACCTCTGAAATGTCTCTCACTGCATCCTCGTCTCCACTGCCCCTGCCATCTGTGTCAGGGAGGACAGATGAGTTCTGCCTGAGGGTGACTCTAAGGTGAGGGCATCAGAGCCCTTCCTACATCCCATTCTGGGTTAAATGTGCTGTTTCTCATGAATAGATAACAGGGATGCTAAATGATCTTTTCCTTTTCCTTTTGGAATAGGACTTTTGGCCTTAATGTTCTTTTTATACTGTCCTGTCTCATGTTTCAGAAAATTGCTCCTTTTGAAGCCCATTAGCCTGATAAAGCCCGATGAATATTTTAGGGGCCCTTGGACGGTAATCAGGAGGTGTCCAAGCAAGTATTTCCCAAATCCTTTTACACCCCACTACATGTGCAGCTCAGTACCTGCTTCTGAGGTCCTAACCAAGTTTACATGCCTCTGGCTACGTGCCTGAGACCAGATGCTGGGCTGGGGCAGGCTCTTGGGCTGACCCCGTGGTGTGGGAGTGGCACACAGGAAGACCTGGAGACAGAGTCTGGGGGCAGTGGAAGAGTGGGGAACTAAGGGGGAGGCATCAAAACCCAAGCAGGCCCATCCGATGCACCTTGGACTTGAAGTCCGCCATCAGGAATAGGCAGGCAGCACACTCCAGAACGTGGAAGATGGCTCACATCCTGGGGGTGGTCTCTGACGCAATGGAGAAATCCCTGGCCAGTCCCCGGGCGGGGTAGGAGCAGGTGGCAGAGCTGTGACCCTGACTGCACCCCATGCCCTTTGCAAGGGAGGCAGAGCACGAGAGTCAACCAGGCAGTGCTGGGCGGCTCCCCTGTCCTGGCCTCCGTACCACCCTCTGCGCCGCTCTCCTCTCAGGCATGCCTGCCATTTTGAATCCGTGTGCTGGCTGACTCTACGGCACTCCACACCTGCGGACGCTGGCTGGGTGGAGAATGATCCTCTGGCTCGCTTCCTTTCACGACCCTTACAACATTTTTGTAGGGCAATTCAAAAAATTCCAAGGAAGAAAGACAATAATTCCATGACTAACCATAGCCATAACCCCTTTCAACATGGCAATCTTTTCCTAGGTGTTGCCTCCAGGGTTTTCTGAAATGTGCTTCATGAGCAGCAGTCCCTAGGATGCCCTGCATAAAAACAGTGACCCTGTATACTGAGCCTAGTTTTTTTTTTTTTTGATTTCCCATTTTATTTGCCTATACAAGGCTTCCAGTAGCATCAAAGTATATGCCTATAATAACTTTCCAACCTTGTTGGAAAATGGAACTTTTCTATTTATAGCATTCCTATAAGCATCCTGTGAAACAGTGGGGGAAGGTCAGTTTGGATCACACTGGGTCTACAATTTGAAAGTTTGCTAGATTCACTTAATGTCAGCATTAAAATGCCTTTACCAACTTCAGTTTTGATGGCTGTATAAGATGGATATACTACACTATATTTAAATATTCCCTTATTATCAGGTATTCGTTATGTAACAGCAATATAAAAGATACTGTAACATAATGCTGTATTTCTTTATGCATAAATATTTGTCTGCATTTCTGATTACATCTTTGGGAAAGATTCATGGAAGTAGAACTACTGGGCCAAAGGGTGAAGAGACTTTTTTTTGAAGATTTTATTTATTTGCTTGACAGAGAGATAGAGCCAGAGAGCACACGCGGAGCGAATGGCAGAAGGAGAGGGAGAAGCAGACTCCCTGCTGAGCAAGGAGCTGGTTGTGGGACTCGATCCCAGGACCCTTGGATCATGACCTGAGCTGAAGGCAGACGCTTAAACCACCTGAACCACCCGGGTGCCCAGGTTGAAGGTATTTTGAAGGCTCCTGATACACGCTGTCAATTTTTTTTTTCTGCAAAAGTTTGTGCCTATTTATTCTCTGGCCCGCAGACTATAAGAGTGCTCATGAGTTGTACCCTTACCACATGGAGTATTAAAATATAGAATCCTGGCAATTTGAAAGGGGATACATTTTATCTCATTTTAAAATGGTTCATAAAAGACGGCAAGACTTATATTCTCCAAGGTTGAAAGGGAGGGTCTTCTGGGAGTGGGAAGCAGCCTCAGCTAGATTCACAGGCAGGAATGCTGGGGAGCTTCCTCAGGTAGCTCCTAATTGGGCACCTAAACAGGCTTTTAGCTTAGACTAGGCTTAGGCCTGCAGACTTCTCGCACCAAGTAATCTACGATGGCAGCTAAAGGAAATGCCTAGTTAGGGTTTCACTCATGTGGATCTATGATCGGGAAGAGACCCACATTAGCCCTCTGCTAGAATTGGAGGGACAAACTGTAATTGAAAAATGATCAAGCCAGGAGTCAGCAGAAATTAATGTGTCCATGCAGTGGCTCAACCATGAAAGAAGGAAATTAGGCAAAGCGACCTTTCCTGGCGTCGGGGGTGGTGGGGGGGGGAGAAGAACTTGAATTCCTGCCTGTTCATGAATCACTGGCGGACGCAGTTGGCACCAAGCCTGTCCACTGCCATCCGCTGAGGCGACGCCCAGGGCCTCCACTGGGCCAGAGACACTTTTCTCCCGGGACACGTGCAGCTGTGTGCCCAGGGTGGGCGGCTGCAGCTGCTATTGAGCCGGCAAGTGACCCAGACACCAGAGACCCAGGGACGTGTGATGAGCAGGGACAATGCCAAGCGGGGCCTGAACTGGCAGGAGGCTGGTACTCCAGGGTGAGTCAGGGGCCATGGAAGCCTCCCATGAGAGGGGAGGTGGAAATCAGGCTGCTGACTCGTTGGTTGGTCCAAATATCCTTTAAAGTGTCAGCCCCTAGCACATAACAGGTGGGAGGGAAATGTATCTCACGTTGAATAGCTGCATTCAAAATACCGGATTTCCTGGAAAAACCAGCTCCGAACTTGCAATGTGGCCCTTCAAAGGTTATCTGCCCTTGGAGGCAGGAAAGAAGGGCAGACACAGAGCGCGGAGGGGCCAGGCGGGGTTGGGAAAGGCAAGGCTGGGAGATGAGGCCACAGGACTAGGGCTGCTTTCATCCTGCAGCCGGCAGGAGGAGGAGGATGGTAGTCATCACAACAATCAATCCTGGACCGTGCTTCTCCGTTTTAAAGCAGCTTTTCCTATCCCTTATGCTACGGGATCTCTGCCGCAACCCTCCACAGGAGGAGGGCCAGTCCTGTCTCAGGCACCTTTGGAAGATAAAGCAAGAGAAATGACATGGTTTCTGATCTCAAGGAGTGTATGTCAGGAGTTCGATGTCACCCCACTTGGCTTCCACACTCAGCCTCTTGTGTGTCCATTTCATGCACAACCAGTGGCTCAGCTTCGCACACTCACTGCCAAATCAGGGTCTGGAGCAGACACTTTTCTCCTGAGTGATGGACTTGCGTGTCAGATTGTCCCCGCACGGCCCACCTGACATGCTACGGGCACTCAGACTTACCGTGTCCCACGCGGAGCCCATCTCCCACGCTCCAGCTTCCCCCGGCCCCGTCCTGTCCCTGCCTCAGCAAGTGCTCCTCATCCCAGAAGCCTGGACGTGGCTTTAGCCTACCTCCCTCTTCCCCGCCCTCCGGCCAGTGTGCTGCCAATTCCAGACGTGCCTCTCTCGCCCATCCTCATTCCTTGACCCTTACTCCCACTCAGAATTTACAACACGTACTGGAGGGGGGAGATTGAGGAGGTGCGTTCCTATGGGCTCGTGCAAGATGGAGAAAGGGGAGAGGCCCATCTGCAGCAGGGGGATGGCAAGAAAGCTCCCGCGTGAGCGTGGGTGGGGCCAAGCCTGCGGCCTGCTGTGAGCGGCTGCGCTGGGGGCAGGCACAGAGAGGCAGCAAGGAGGGCTCCCAGGAGGCAGTCTGTGGGGGATGGGCCAGCTGTCACACATGCTTTAGGAACTTCTGGGCAATCGTGTTCTGGACTTTGGGAAAATAACTGAACCTTTTAA